GGTGCATTGTGGGTAATCTATTCTGGCAGTTATTTTTGCAGAAGTAACTTGTTTATTTATTTAGTCATTTGATGGGTTAATTTATTTTACTTGTTTTATATTTTCATTTTGTATTATTTATTCTTTTCGATTTTTGATGTTTTATTAATGTAGTAAAAAAGTTTTGGGGTGGGGATTTTCTTAGGTCACTTATTTAATAGTTTGTTTTGGTCTGGGAAGATAATTAAAGCTATTTATATTTTCTGTTATTTTGGCTGTGGGGACAGTTTTTAATTTATTTAGATTGATTATTTTTACTTGGTTTTGCTTATTTATTCTTATTTTTATTAGTTCTAATGGTTATTTTAGTGCGGGCAATTTGTTGATTTGTTCATTTATTTATTTATTTGGATTAATTTTATTTGTTTTTTTGTTTATTTACTTATTTTTTATTTTGTATATTTTTATTTACACTATTTGGTTTTTGATTTTTGAGTAACATAGTGATGTTTTTTATCATTATATAGTATAGTTATTTTTACATCCAATTTTTGGATTGCTTATTGTAGTCTATTCTAACAGTTATTTTGGCAGGATTGATTTGTTAATTTGTCTATTATTTGTTTGGGTTAATTTAATTTACTTGTTTTTTATATTAGACTCTACCCCTAAGCTATCGGCCCATGTCAAAGAAAGGGATCTTTTAAAGTATTATATACGTGATATATATAAACGCTAAATCAGCAGCCAGAGTGCTCATTTCATGTGAAGATTTATGCGTTAAGCAGGAGCAGCTACTGTTAAAAATTCCCTTTCTCTATAGTGCTCAATCAGCAAACAAGATGCACATGCATGTTTTTCTGCATATATCTATACCTTTTTTGTTTCCCTTATTCTCTCTCTGTATCATGCAGTTATTCTAAAGTGCTTGATGGTATTTGATTTTCAACTGTACATATTGGTAAAAAAAAACTTTTATTGGTTAAAAAAAAAAAAAAGACTTTTACTGTAGATCCGAAAAAAGTAATTATTCTTTTTTTTAACTACGACTTTTCTCCAATCTGGGAACCAGTTACCTGAACCCCAAATTGATGATTAGAATTCATGTAGATATATTAACATAAAACACTTTTACTCAAGCCACCCCACAGCGCAATTGAAGACCCACTCTCACTCTCGAAACACTCTGGTTATGGGCGTGACTTGTGGCACAAACATTTACATATGTGCCTGCATATATACGTACATAGAATGTATGCATTCATTTGCACATCAGTACCTATATGTATATATAAAATTTTATGCAAAAGTTGGCCATACACATATATGTCTTTTGATATTAAATTTGCAAGACAGAAATGCCATGGGGTATGCTTTTATAAGTCATGCACTGATATAATTTCAAAGCAATTTAAAATGATTGATGAATTTATTACTATTAATAGCCCAACTGTTGTAAACATCTGCTTGAGTGTGCAGGTTAGCCATCACCAATCTGGCAATCAGTAATCCAGTTCCATTAGAAGTTCAATGTTTGGTAGCCAAAATCTTAAATAAATAAGATATGCAGTGTTGATAGCAGACACAGAAAGGAAAATCCAAGAACGCATACAAAAGGTAATAAAGGAAAAGTTAAAGAAAGGACTAACCTCAATTGAAAGAAGACAGAATGCATGGTTGTTAGCAAAAGGGACAGCCCAACATGTAATTTACAAATTGGAGATATCAAAATCAAACAAGAACAAAATATCTGGGAAGTGTTTTAATAGAGGATGGAAAGTGTGACACTAAAATCTGAATGCAAATTGAGATAACGGGAGATGCCTTCCAAAGGCAACATAATATATTAAGAAATAGAAAAATTTCATTAGAAACAATGCTCATCCAATACAAGGCCTAAAGGCCACTCAAGGTAGAGGGTTACTGTGCAGAATTGTATTAGCATAAGAAAAGGAAAGATAACAGGAAAGATATACGGTTAATTCTAGACTTGCAAACAATGTCAGGGCTGGCGCAAGAGTCTTGTGCTCCCCACCAATCTATAATACCCGCCCTTAAATTTGATATGGGGCCCGCTCACTATACTGTTTCATTTTTCACAAGGTTGTATTCATATATAATACAAATTTTATTGTAACCTAATTATGTACAATATTGAATCATATGCAATATAAGTGAACAATTCAACTAGAAAATTTGAAAATAAATAAAATGTATCTAAATACAAATTAGAGACATGTCATAAAAGATCATTCTATCTTAAAAAATCAACAATGTTTTGTGGCAATTTTTTAACATCAACTTGAGATTTTTCTTGTTAAAAAGTTGAATTATTTTAACACATTCAGCATTATAGATAAAAAAATCGTGAATTTTATATAATGTTTTTTCAAGACTTAACGTGAGCAAAACAAAATGAACGCTGCCTGCTACAGAATGACATCCTTTAAGAGTCAGTTATGCTTTGTTTAATTTATAACATATATAAATGTAGATAGAAAAAAGCAAATGTTGATAAGATCATCATCATCATCCTTCAACCTGCCTATGGTTGGTCGGAACTCCATGGACAATCCTTTTCCACACAGTTCGGTCCCTGTATTGCTGTTCCCAGATCCCCAATGTCCAACCCTGTGTCCTGAGCTATGGTGTCTGGAAAAGTCAATTTTTGTGAGAAGACACTTCCAGAAGGATGCCATAGAAGTAAGGATGAGACAATTTCTTTGCCTGCTCAATGGCAGTGACAGTCAAACTGTAATCATTTTTGTTTGAGCTTAAGAGATATTGGTCTCAGTTCTCCATAAATTGTGTTAAGCGTTACATGGGATCTCCAACTGATATTCTGGATTTTTCTAAGTAGATTTGTATACGTGGTTCCATCCAGTCTCCTTTCAAGACAAACAGATAATGTCCAAGTTTCTGATCCATACACTAGGATTCGTTCAATCAATGTTCGAAATGTTTGGACTTTTAAGGATTGAAGGTTCAAGCATCAAATCTTGTGAGGTTTGTTACATGCAAGTTGATAAGATAGCGAGGCTCACAAAGCAATGGCCAAAGCACCCAGTCAAGCTTGGGCCCACTCCACTTGGGTTTTTCAGGGGTAGTGGTAATGAATAGAATTTTGGTGGTTCTAGGTGCTGCATAAGCTATCTTTAAGAATTTTCAAACACTGTTTATGTATTTCTACCTGATTTTTATTTTAATTTTTATTATCAATTTTTATTTCGCTCCAGTCACAGCTCCAATAAATACAGGAAGTACGTCTTCCCAGATATTTAAATTGTTGTACTTGTTTGATTTTGGTATTTCCAATTTATAATTTGCATGCTGGACTATTTGGCTTTGTAAGCTATTTTACTTATTAAATTTTGAAAATTACCAAATCCCTTTTGTTTGTTTTTAGTAGTTAAAACATATACAAAGATCCGTTTTTAAATTATCTATTTTTTTCCCAGTATACAGTATATAATATCAATTTAATTTATAGTAGAAGAAATACTATTCTAGAATTTAAGCATGTGATGTGTTTGCTCCAACGTTTTCAAACTGGCATCTTGAAGGCTCTTGAAGGCTCTCCATTGAAATGATGTCGTTTGTATAATGGTTGACCTTTGTCTTCTAAGAAAGCAGTATTATATGAATCTCAAAGTACTATGTTTTTATTATTATTGTTATTCATTTTTTGACGAATATTTTTCACTTCTTATTTCAGATTTGGGATTTTTATCACAATGTTCATGTTTGTTTGTTTGTTTGCTTAATGGCATATCAACTCCTTATGGGACATTTAATGCTGAAATTTAATTTCCTTGGCAGCTTTGGTAATTTTTTTTTTTTAACTATTATAATCTATTGCTGGAAATTTTAATTTCTTTTGCAAAAATGTATTGCTTCTAATTTTTTTACTATGAAAATGTATTGCTGATAGTTTACTATAAAATCATTATACCTTCATTGTGCTTAGCCCAAAGCTGGGACCCTAACAGGTTCTACAACCCTGGGTCAGGGTGGACCTGCAAATAACAGCAATTAAGAAGTGGTTCCATGCTCCTCAAAAGCTCCCAATTAAAAGACTTGCTGCAGGATGCAGTTTATCGTCATACCCAGGATGGACAATGTTCATGTCATCTTTCTATTCTACAACTAAAGTATAAGTATGAGTAATTGGAAACTCTACTTGCTTAAAGGTTGTAAAAATAATATGACATAAAACAAATTTAGACCCAGCCATAGTCAGGATCATATAATTAATGTGAACCCCAACAATCTTTTCATTAGTTGCATACAGTATGGGCTTCATTAGCAATACATACGTTTTTTTAGTTCCTTCTCATAGTCTGGTTGCCAAACAAGACTGATGAGTCCAGTCTGTTCGGTTATTTAACCCATAGATTGGGGGGGGCGATAAATTCATACTTTTTCCCAAAGATATTTGTACATAAATGAATGTAACAAATATGACTGGAATTTTGAACTTGGCTCACCAATTTCTCATTCCATGATGCTATTCATTGCACCACCCACACATCCAAGCTTACACCACCTCCCCATCCCAATAAGAAGCCATTACATTTATTACATGAGCATGACAATGTTTTCACATTCAGGCAACTTAAGACTATTATGTCTATGACTACTATTAGGTGTAAGCAAGTAGCAAAAACCAAGACGAAAGAAAAAATAGCAAACATGAATAATAATGTTTCTTCTTGAAATTTTTATGTTAATTGCTATTAAGTGTAAACAAACAACAAAAATAAGATCAAAGGATTGATTGATCTTTTTTACAGCTTATCAACCTTTTGCAAGTTACTTAAAGCCGTAAATAAATTTCTAGATTGTTAGAATTTTTGGGAAATAAAAACAATTTACTGATACAAGTCCTACCAATTAACTCATAGCTGTGTAAAGTAAAGATGGATTCATGCCTTTCATACTAAGCGAATATAACAAACCTGACTGTTATTGGAACTTGTCTCACTGATTTCTAATTCCAAGCAACACCAGCACTTCTAATCTTACAGCACCTGGTATTCCCAAGCAGTCACCCATCTAGATACTAACCAGGCTTAACCTTGCTTAACTTCGATGATCGTATGAGAACTAGTGTTTAAATGTGATATGGCTGTAAACATAAAGATCAGAGGAAAAATTATCTAAAAATAATTATTGCAATGCAGGAAACTCTGAACAAATTAAGACTATTACATTGTGGGAATCATCCCACTTGTCAGGCAAAGAACTTCTGCTAACAATGACTAGCTGACATTTTTAATGTGGTAAAAGTTAGTGAAGGAAAGCAAGAAGAAAGGATTAAACATCAACTGCAAGAAGACAAAATGCATGCCTGTTCGCAAAATGGTGAACCCAAAGTGCGAATTGCAAATCAGAGATACAAATTTCAAACAATTACAAAAATTTAAATATTTAGGAAGTGTTTTAACAGAGTACAAAAAGCATGACTAATTGGGATAGCCAAAGGTGCATTCCAAAAGCTAAGCAGAGTATTAAGAAACAGAAAAACTTTGCGAGAAACAAGGAAAAGTATACTAAACTGTTATGTGATATCTGTCCTCTTGTATAGCAGTGAATGCTGGACAATCTCCTCAAAGATGAAGAGACTTGAAGCAACAGAAATGTGGTTCTACAGTAGGATGCTGAGAATACATTGGACCAATTATGTGAGCAATACCAAAGTTTTAGAGGAAATGCAAACATAAAGGAAACTTATACCTAACATAATGAAGATCCCAAATATTCTGACAAGCTATATTCCTTAGTTCCACCAGTTCGGATCTTGGGAGAACCTTCCATGCCACTAACACTCTAGCCATCTGCAGTTATTCTCTTCGCATTCCATTAGTGAGAACTAGAAGTAGATCCCTGCATTGCCCGAGGATGTAACAGTAAGAGATAGATCAAGTATCGACCATCATAAAGACTGAAAAATAAAATTGACAAAGATTATTGTTTAAGGTTGACGGACACGCATGTCTTAATTAGTTTTTTTTGTTTTGTTTTTTTTACGAATTGGTCAAACCCAAACTCAAACAAAAACATTGTTTTCAATCGTTATGAGTCTATCGATTGAATAGAATTTTATTATAAACAATTGTCTTGTAAATGGAATTTTTAAAGCATTCTGAATGTAAAAATAAAGAAAAAAGTGTGCAAGAAACACTACCTGCCAAAAAAAAAGTGAAGTTTTGTTGAAATCAGTTGAAAAATGGAAATCCGATCCCATATATAAATGAACACACACACACACACACACACACAAACAACCTGGGTTTTATAATAAGTATAACTCGATATGAATTGTCCCCCTTTCATTCTGGCGACAGAATCTTGTTTTATCGTGTTTTCAAATTGATTTCATGCAAAAACAATTGTGTTTTTCCAGTTTTTGGCGCTGTCAGAACCACCGCAAGATAATTTTACGCAGTCCTGTGAAGTTTTGTTGAAATCGGTTGAAAAATGTACGAAATCTGATCCAATATATAAACGTACAGACACACACACACACACACACACACACACACACACACACACAATCTGCGTTTTATAATAAGTAAGATTATGTTCCACTTTAACAGCTTCCATGTTGAATTGACTCCCAAGAGAATGTTTCCCTGACCACAACAATCAAACTGTCGAAGTCTAGTGTTAACCATTATCCTTTTTCTTCTTACTCTTTCCACTCACACAACAAATTCCTTGAGTAACCCTCTACCTTGACTGACTCTCGGGCCTTGTATTGGGTGAACAAAAGTAAAAAGGAAATATCATTTCATGCTGATAAAGCAGTAAAATAAATTGATTCAATTGTTTAACATTTTATTTTGTCATTTTTTTTTTTAATTTTTTTTTCTTTTAATCCCATTCACCCTAAGCAAGGCAATAAAGCCACAGAGACATAAGGGGTTATTGAGTGTGCAAAAAGTAGAAACAGAAACATTGATAAGGAATAATAACAGAGGAAGAGTAATCAAGAGAACAGTTGATAGCGATTGACATTGCATTTAATTTTTTGCAGATGAAAGTTGGCAAGGAAACATGGAGCTGTAAGTGAATTCCACAAGTGAGAAATGCGAGAAGTTAGCATAGAATTTACGGTTACATCAAGGCAGCTTGACTGTAAATTGGTGACACCAGTCTAGTATGTGGGTTTTGAAATTGCAGTACAGTAAAACCTTGAATTAGCAGTCCCTGAACCAACAAACTCTGGATTTAACAGACAAAATCCACAGAAATGGTAGTGTCCAGCTGGAACTCAAAACAGCCACATGTAGCGAGCAAGTCCATTAGTTTCAGAATCAGCTACTTGATTACTGGTGCAATCAACTGACAGAGATTGGTAGTTCCAGGAATAACTGGTGTTGTTTGCTTGAGTGTACGTTGGGTACATAACATACACAGCATCTCTCTATCTCTCTCCCTCTCTCTCTCTCTCTCTCTCTTTATATATATATATATATATATATATATATATATAGATAGATATAGATATAGATATATATATATATATATATAGATATATAGATATAGATAGATAGATTATTATTATTAATAAATATACATTTTTTACCTCAACAGGAGCACAACTCTGAGTTTCATGCACAATGCAATCTATTTTATCACCACCAGCACTTAATTTTCAATATTATACTCTCTCTTTCTCTCTCTCTCTCTATCTATCTCTCTCTCTCTTTATATATATATATATATATATATATATATAGATAGATAGATAGATAGATAGATAGATAGATATAGATAGATTATTATTATTATTAATAAATATATATTTTTACCTCAACAGGAGCACAACTCTGAGTTTCATGCACAATGCAATCTATTTTATTACCACCAGCACTTAATTTTCAATATTATACTCTCTCTTTCTCTCTCTGTAATTTAATTTTAAGTTACTATATAGTAACTTGAAAATAAAATACAAATGCATATATACTGTTTTTACATTTATTTACAAAAATTTTGTAATGTACTGGATGTTTTCAGGCCACGAAAAAAGATGCTTCAAATTAACAGACAAAGTTTTAGAAGACGACCCTCCCCACTATTAGTCTGTTAAATTGGGGTTCTACTGTATATGTAATCAACCAAGAAGTATGTGTATATAGGTGTACGATGGTACACTAGAGATATAGCCTGAGAACCAAGAAAACATTAGCTAGGAAAATTTTGAGACCTATTGGACAAAAACAAAGAGCACCAAATGCAAAATGGTTACCATCTTACATAACCAGCTTTGTTTTAATTATGGTAGCATAAAATAGCTGCTGCATTCATTTTCACACTAATACCGTTAGGAGAGTTATAAAAGCATCTCTTCTTTCCTCAGCTATGGCTAAATATCAGGGTAGACTAGATTTTCCTGGCAATAGAGAATGACTCATTTATTTTTCCAGGAAGTCATGGCAATACTTGGATAATAAACAAAAAGAAACTGTAGGGAGACATGATCCCCTTCACTTTGAAGGGATGAGATATAAAAAATCAATTTTAACGTCCAAAACAATTTTTACCTTTCAAATGACTAATTACCTCCCTTATATTCTAATGAAGCCTTACAATCTATAGAAGCATTTTTTTATCAAAAAATTCAACATTTCTAACTAATAAAAGTTCTTATTTATTTATGTCTTATATCCATTCGGGACGTGGGCGATCATGGCTCTCCACAACTGCCCAACCTTTGTAGCTCTTAATAAGTTTTGTTGTTTTGTTCTCAAAGAATCCCTGTTCTGCCATCCATTTACACAAGCTCATTAGGTAGGTTACTTGTCGCTTTCCTCTCTCTCGCTTCTGCTTTCAATATGTCCAGTGAGTATCAAATTCTCTAAGCTCTCTTTCCTCATTATGAACTCTTTAAATTTCAACTGTCTCATTCTGATTATAAGTGTTCAATTTGTTTCCATGTTCTTTGAGACTTTTTTGTTACTCACATGTTCAGTCTTTGGTATTCTCTGGTTCCGTCTGTAGGACCAAATTTCTGTTGTCTTAAGTCTATTCTTCATCTGTCTAATATTCCCTCTCAGAGAGGAAGACTGAAATTGTAAAAATAAATAAATATACAAAAACTGAATAAAAGAAAAAATGGAAATAAAAAATGAAATAATTAAAGTAAAGTATTTGAGATTTGTAGCATAATAAAACTAAATATAGCATTAAAATATAATATAGTTTATTTCATCTGTTTATTATATATAATATTTGTTTTTATTATATATATATATATATATATATATATATATATATATATATATATATTTTTTTTAATTATATAATGTTATAATATAATTAAAATGCAAAATAATTTATTTATGATCTATAGGCTATATAATTAAAAATGAAATATAATTTATTTATTCATTATCATTATTATTTATATATTATATAATTAAACATACAATATAATTTATTCATTAATTAATTATTATTAACTATAGGCTATATAAGTAAAAAATACAATATAATTTATTTATTAATCATATTATTATTATTATTATTATTATTATGATTATTATTATTATTATCTATATATTGTATAATTAAATATAGAATAGAATTTATTTATTTATTAATTCTTATTATCTATTGGTCATATAAGTAAAAATACAACATAATTTATTTATTTATCATATTACAGTGTAACCCGGATATAAGAGAGTTGTCGGGACAGGAGAAGAAGTCTCTTATATCCGGGTTTCTCTTATATCCGGGTTTGATCTATTTTATATACATTAACACAGGCTCTAATTTGGGACCAGAGAAAATCTCTCTTATATCCGTGTTTCTCTTATATCCGGGTCTCTTATATCCGGGTTACACATTATTATTATTATTATTATTATTATTATTATTATTACCTATATATTAGAATAGAATAGAATTTATTGATTTATTAATCATTATTATTATTATTATTAATATTATTATTATTATTATCTACAGGTATATGAGTAAAACTTCAATATAATTTATTTATTATTATTATTATTATTATTATTATTATTATTATTATTATTAGCTATGTATTATATAATTAAAAATGCAATATAATTGTTTAAAGATATATTTGAATTTCCGAGATGATATACGAGGCC